TTTCTTTTTTTTCTTTCTTTTCTTTCTTTTTCTTTTTTTTCTCTTTCCCTTCTTCTATTTATACCCCACCAGTCTTTCATCCTGCCCGTCCATCTCACCTCATCCCAATCGTCCATTTCTCCCTTCTCCAAATGATGTCGTTCCTTCCTCTACTTCTCCAAAGGACGTCGTTTCCCTCAAACGACGTCGTTTTCCACCCCCTCTCCTCCAAACGACGTCGTTTCCTCCTCCTCTTCACCAAACTACGACGTTTCACCCCTGAGATTCCCACCCTACCTATACATCCATACATACATACAAATTTTCTTTTTTTTTTTCTTTCTTTCCGGTTATTACATACGTACATATAAATTAATTGTTTCCAGTGTTAATTTAATACATTATATTTGTCTATAAAATTATATTAATTACACCTCATTAGATATTAATATAAATTAATTAATTCGAAAATTAGTTTTTAAAATTAAATTAATACATGCATGTAATTTATTCTTTTCAAAATTAATTTAGAATTAACTTAATTCATGTATACAAATAAATTGTTTCTAGAGTTAATTTCTAAACGTAGTTTATACCTGAATCTAATTAATACTGTCTAAAATTAATTAAATACATGCATATAGATTAAATATTTCCAAAATTAATTCAGTGCATGTGTATGTGTATAAAATTAAATTAATTTATAATTATGTTGATCCATGCAGTAAATTAACTATTTTCAAAATCAATCTAATAAATACATGCAGATTTATAAAGTTAAGTTAATAATCTCTGTATTTAATTAATTTAATAATTTATTGATTTGTGTTTTTGGTCCTTTTAAAATCAATGCAAACATTATTATGCATTTTTGTTGTGATTTAATCTCGGTAAGTATTTCATGGATTTGTGGCAGATATATACTGAAGGGAAATAGTTAAAAAAAAAAAAAATTGTTATATTCGTGCAGGTCCATGTACATACAAACACCTTGGTTAATTATTTATGCACCAATTTTAAAATGATTAACATATAGATAATTAAATTAATTAACATATACGTTGTATATTAGATATTTAATTAAGATATGTTTAATAATGATTGTAATAAACTCTTCAATTAATAATATTTTAATTATATAGGAGAATGCGTATTTAACATCATTAATCTGTATATTGTATGCAATATATTTATATTATAGTCAATAATATTTTAATTTACAAAATATTCTCTCTTTTTTTTTTTTTACATAAATACGTGTATTGGGATTTATTATTGTTGATATATACATTTAATGTAATATTTTTGTTATACTATATTATGATTAATATTATTTTAATTTATACAAAATAAAAAACTATAAGAATTAAATAGATTATTAGCCTAAATTATTTATACATATATAACTTTTGTTGATTTTTACTCTTTTTTATATAATATATTTTCAGAAATTCAAGAAAAAAAGAGAGATACTAAATACAATTACATTAACCATATATTTCAACAAACATGAAAAAAAAATCACTCATAGTGTGTGTTGTAAAACTAGTGTGTGTACATATGTATATATATATATATATATGTAAATATGTATATATTCATATACGTTAAATCAAGATACACGTCAAATATAATGGAGGAACTCTCTCCATCCTACTCAAGCAAAACATATATACAGTAATCACCTTTTTTTTTTTTTGGTTGGATGAGCACTATATCCATTTAAATTTGATCTTCAAAGAGAACAGATTACATGGTGCTTATAAATATCTCCAAATGCAAAGAAATTTAAGAGGTAGAAGTAGAAGGTGCAGCTGGTAGTGTGAAGAGAGAAGAAATTATAGGTTCAATGGATGGAGAATTGGGAGAGGAGGGAGGGAAATTAAGGTATAATTAACAAAAAATTATATTAATTAGCAGATACTCCAAACCTAGTTTTTCTATAAACTTGATCTTCACAAATGGTCACTTCAATACCTATTTAGAGCATTAAATAGATGGAATTCAAAGAATGTCGCTCTTAATTCATGCAATGGTACAAACTGCCTATCTGCATGAGATTGAAGTAGTGAACTAAAATTACATTAGAAGGAACCTAATGCTTTTCACACTCACTATGAATTGCTTCTGCCAGTGCTTCTGCATTGACCATCCCAACCAGAACATCAGAAGGTACTCTCCTACAGCCGATTTTGAATCGATACCTAAACTCCCTAAGGATTTACATCATAACCATCCTTCAAAGTTGGTGCATATAATTAGGTAATAATTAGCACATGAGACTAAATTCTTCTGTGCTCTGTATCGAGGCACCCTATTCCAAACCAGCCTAGGGAGCCACTTCTCCAGTAAATAGCAAATTGACATAAAAATCCAAAGCCTTACGCCTAGCTTTGACATAGAGGGACTCCAGGGTCAAAGCTTGTAACAACGAGAACCCTCAGTTCATTTCAAGTTGGAAGCTATCTTCTTCTCTTATCTGATATCATGTAAAGAGCATTTTCAGCTCCTCAATTCGTGCTGTCCGAACTTCTTGATCAGTTAAGGCACCAGCAATCATCTGCTGCTTACGTGCTTGCACTGCCTCCATTCTTTCCTCAACTGTTCCCTGCAATCCAAGATTATTCTTATCGAGACCCTAAATATGTTTCCAGGTTGAAAAACAGATAAAAGTTTAATAAAAATGTTCAAGCATTAACAGAGCAGGACCTCGAGTTCATTTTTATAACTGAAAATCTTCACATTAACAAGTAATGTTTTCTATTGACTGACTTAAAAAAAATTGACTCCACTAAAAAGATTTCCCACTCTCCACTAATAGCACCAGTGTAACATTGGAAGCACAAGACAATATCCATCTGCATGGTTTGGTAATGCAAGAACGTACCTTTACAATGAACCGTTTGATCGTTACCCTTTTCATTTGTCCAATGCGATGGATACGCATAACAGCTTGTACCTCTACAGCTGGATTCC